TATCTTTGACATCTACATATTAGCAAAAAGCTTAGATGAAATCAAAAACCACTGTTAATTTCTTATATTGGGTACATATGCACAACGCTATCTTGTAGGTTAAATTGTTACTTGTCGGCCAGCACATCACAAAAAACTAGAACTGTTATCAATATAAGACAAATATTCGTGGATAAAATCGAAATATTATACTTGAAGCTATTTTACACATAAATAATCAACCTACATTTTTCACCAATGTAGACAGTATCTAGAAGTGTGTATGTTATATATATATATATATATATATATATATATATATATATATATATATATATATATATAAAATAAACTCATCGTTTTTTAGTCTGGCCTAGCTCACATTAAACGTTACATATGACATAATGGTGGACCATTTTAAAGTTTCATCTTTCAAAAGAATACCAGGTTGTAGCCAACAGAATCTTGCCGACTACACACAAACCACATGGTTCTTGACAATGAGCGTGACGGTCGAAAGTACTTGAACAAAACAACAACAACAAAAATACCCCAGAATAAACAAGAAATTTGACGCGTTTGAACGTGCTGGACTTGTTCAATTAGTGTCCTTCAAAACTTATACTGTCTCTCAAAAGAATTGTCACTAACGTCAGCTCGGCATAGTTACAGTATAAACAACAGGTTGACTTTGTGAGGGTTGAAGACACACAAATGCATCTGAGCGAACGTCTGCAAAAGGGATTCGTTAGCTATCCTAGCAGACGGGTGTACTCGGAAAGGTGCAACCAGCTATTATTATTTGTTGTATTTTGATTAAAAACTGCATTTATGAGCACTCAGTAGGAATCGAACACGTTACTCTATAATAATGGTCAATCGGACACGCTGGGTAGCATTATCCCATGTCAATGAACTAACATGATTGTGGTGCGTTTGTATAAAAAATCTTTCATTCTTCATTTCACATTCTATTTCTTTATCGTCTCTGCATCGCTGCGACATCTTGGAAAGATAGTGGAGTAGTGCATATTTGCCTTCCTGGCGGTTCTGAATTAAGAGTTGAACTTCTATTCGACTAGATGTCAACCAAGTCTAGAGAGCCCAGTCTATCCTACAATTTAGATTACGAATAGGAGTATAAGAGATGGATTCCTTTCTTTTTCCGAGGGCATCAGTGCGAAAGTGAACGCAGTAGACGTAACCGGAAGTTGAACTGAGCGGAGCCAATTTTACTTTACACGTCGATAATCGTTACGCTACACGTGTATCGATTTGAAATTGACCTTTTACAGGTATTGGGTTGACATTTTCCCCTTTTTCCCAATTACTACGAATCCCTTTGGGCTGATCATTTGACCCCCGTTAACGGTAGTAAAGAGCAGACTGTGCCGAGAACTGTTTTCGAGGAACAATGTTCCAAATTTATGAGTGTGGTGCGTTTGTATCAGAAATCTGGATATTGAAAAAGTTTTCACCCTCAGGCATATTTTTCAATAAACAAATATCACTCCTAAAATTCATCGATAACTATTCGCTCTTCGGAATGATATTGACTTAATATGTTTGCTTTTTTTAAAGAACTAACAATGGGTAGAATATAGTTAGTATTGAATAAAAAAGCGCTTGTGAGTGAGAACATCTCCCTGATGATACGGTGTATTCGTATTTCTCTTAAGAAGTCATTCTCACAGACTCTTTCAGTTTGATATTTTGCCACACTTGACATCTACTTTCTTACAAACACCGTTAGAAGCTGTGAAATTGCAATTCCATTTGCCGGTAAAATCCGTTTCTGCCACTTTTACTTAAGTTAAAGAGAGAAGAAAATATAATTGCTCCTGTTCAGCAGCTGTTTTATTAACGAACTCTCAAGAAAACTTGTTCTAAGAATTGCTTAAAGACGAGAAAAAAATTTCATCTGCGATGCAATGTTTTCGTCCAGACTTGATTCATAAGAAACGATTTTACTTGCATTATTTACAATATTTGTTATACTCATCTTCATTGTTATATTCAAAACGTTTCGGCCTCTATATCTCTGAGATGAAGTATTATGATTACTTACATTATTTACAGTATTCGGACTGTTATCCTCATCGTCATTGCTATATTCACAACGTTTCGGCCTCTATATCTCTGGGATGAGGTATTATTATTACTTGCATTATTTACATTATCCGGACTGTTATCCTCATCTTCATTGCTATATTCACAACGTTTCGGCCTCTATATCTCTGAGATGCGGTATTATTATTACTTGCATTATTTACATTATTCCGACTGTTATCCTCAACTTCATTGCCATATTCACAACGTTTCGGCCGTGGCACTCTCCGGTCTTCTTCAAGTGATTAAACTTTCGAACCGAAACCTCTATTTCGTCCACCGGGGTAGATTGTTCTAGTTCCGCGTGCCATGGAATCACTATCTGTCTATATCTCTGAGATTAGGTATTATGATTATTTACAATATCCGGACTGTTATCCGCATCTTTATTGCCATATTCACAACGTTTCGGCCGTTGTACGCTCCGGCCTTTTTCAGGTGATTGGAATTTCAAACCGAACCCTGTATTTCGTCCACCGGAGGAGATTGTTCTAGTTCCTACGTGCCATGCCTCTTCCGGACCTCTCAGTTATATCCCTTTAATTCAACTCTCCAAGGTTTGGTTCACCACTGCTGTGGCATGGTATTGAACTCACAACTCTATGGGTCTATTCACTGGATCTAACCAACGTCTTTATTCACTAGGCCATGTATCCTTGAAGAGATATAGACAGAAACGATCTTAATACGTTGTTGAAGGGTTGCTGAAGTGTGCTTATCGCTCCTGTGCTGTAAGTGGATCTAGGTTTCTCTTCATTTTAGTTGGGCGAAATTGCTTAGCCCCGGTGATTCCAACCCTGCGGCTGTACCTTCCTCATTGCAGTAAGAGAGGTTTGGTCGTTGTAATACCGGTACCAGAGTGACAGTGGTCGCAGGGGATGGTAAAAAACAATTGTTGTCCTTGGCCCATATGCATAAGTAGGCGTATGACGCTCCCCACTTTAAAACGACCTTGCATCATACCCAGCCTTAATGGGGAGATCGGGTAAATATATCTGTTGTCTCTTATTAAACATTTTATTCTTTAAATACCGCAGCCCTTCAATATGTAGTCAAATTATATTTCTTTATCGTCTCTGCATCGCTGTGATATCTTGGAAAGATAGTGGAGTAGTGCATATTTGCCTTGCTGGCGGTTCTAAATTAAAAATTGAACTTCTATTAGACTAGATGCCAACCAAGACTAGAGAGCCCAGTCTATCCTGCAATTTAGATTACGTATAGAAGAGATGTATTCATTCCTTTTCCGCGGGCGTTAATGCGAAAGTGAACGCAGTAGGCGTAACCGGAAGTTTAACTTTGTGCACCGATTTTACTTTACACGCCAGTAATCGTTACGCTAATCGGTACCTATTTGAAATTGACCTTTTAACTTTTTCTCTTTTACAGGTGCTAGGTTGATATTTTCCCTCTTTTCCCAATTACTACGCATCCCTCTGGACTGAAAATGTTGCCTCCTTAACGGCAGTAAAGAGTAGAGTGTACCGGGAACATTTTTCGGGCACACTATAAAGCGATGCTTTCCCTACATTTAGCTTAAACACAGCCTCTTGCAACATAACGTGCTGGACATGCGACTAAATACACCTATTGTAGATTTACTAGCTTTACTTTTCTGGGTCGGAGAGAATGCACGTAATTTGTACGCCTTGTTAGCATGTCTTTAGAAAATAAAACCTTCATTTAAGTTTTTCCCGATTTCACCCTAGCCGACTGTATTTTAAATGTTTCCTCAAATATCTGTGCAGATGCTATTTAGGCAGCCTGCATATATTCGGTAAATCCAGCACATATATTGACATCTTTTCGTGACTATCATATGCCGAAGCATGATCCGACCTCGTGAGGAAATTTCAAATTAGACGATTAAGTCTCCCTTAACAATCGATTGCACGCGCATCTTCGAGAATAATTAGTCTATTAAATTAATTAAAATAATTTACTCTTTTATCTCTATTCACAGGCTCTTCTTCCTCATGCCACTGACCGTTTCTCGGCAAATAATTCACTAACATATTTTCCGGACAAACACTTCACTTTATTAAGTCAATTTTTGTCGCTTAAGAATTTTATAAAAATCTTTCTCCTTTCTCCAATAACAATCATTTAATTGGGCGCCATTTTCCTTATACTTGAGTTATTTTCTCTCTTCTCTTTCTGTCTCCCTTTTCATTCGTTTATATTTTTTGTCTATCCAATCTTATCTGCATTGAATTTAACAGCCTAATTCCAGTAACGTTATCCATAAAGAAAAAGAAAACAAGAAACAAACAATACTGAAAATAACATTTTCAAACTATTAGTTGTGCTATTGCATCAAGACGCCACCTAGTGGCGACACCCTGTAATTCTATTTTAAAACTCGAACGGTAATTGCGTCCATTGTCTGCGGTTTGTATTTCTCAAGACGAATCTCCTGTTCGTGTTGTTTATTAAATATTTCCATTGAGTTGTCTTTATTGCTGCTTGGTTAAAAATTTCTTTTTTTTTTTTTTCAGAAGTGCTTACAGTTATCAAGCTTTGTCCAATCCACAGCAGATTGAATTAATTTGTAAGGAAACTGAGGAGCTAAATTTGTTCATCTCTCTCTCTCTCTCTCTCTCTCTCTCTCTCTATATATATATATATATATATATATATATATATATATATATATATATATATATATATTTGTTCATTTGAGCAAATATCTATCTATCTTTATATCTATCTATCTATCTATCTCAGCCTCTTCATATCTATCCATGCATCTATCTATCTCTAAATTTAAATCTCTCTCCACTCTATCTCTCTTTCTCTATATATATATATATATATATATATCTATCTAAATTTGTTCATGTGAAAATCTATCTATCTATCTATATATCTATCTATCGCAGTCTGTTCATATTTTGTTCTATCTATCGCAGTCTGTTCATATCTATCTATCTATCTCATTCTGTTCATATCTATCTATCTATCTCAGTCTGTTCATATCTATCTATCTATCTATCTATCTATCTATCTATCTATCTATATATATATATATATATATATATATAAATTTGTTATATATATTCTATATATATATCTATCTAAGTTTGTTCATATCTATCTATCTATTCATCTATCTATCTATCTTCATCCATTTATCTATCTCAGTCTGTTCATATCTATCTATCTATCTATCTATCTCAGTCTGTTCATATCTATTCATCTATCTATCTATGTTCATCTATCTATCTATCTAAAACACTAGTATTTATTGTTTGTACTTATATTTTCATGAAGCAATGGAAAATTATATGATGACTGCTTAATGCTTTAAAGGAACAGTCAATATGCAGCGTTGATTTTTGTCCCAAAGTGTACAAACGCTGTATCCCCAATATTGAGGTTTTCTTCTTCTCCATAAATAAAGAATATATATATATATATATATATATATATATATATATATATATATATATATATTCTTTATTTATGGAGATGATATATTAATTTATATATATATATATATATATATATATATATATATATTGACAAAACAAAACTGCTCACGGATACGCAGGCGAGCGAACCCTAGACAACATAGGAAGTATGTGTATGTGTGTTTGTGTGCATATGTCTGTTTGTATATGTATATGTGTGTATATGTGTATACTAATTCCTTATAATAAGATACTATATATATATGGAGAGTGAATATATGTGTGCGTACGCATGCTGACAAAAACACAAAAAATGGAAATAGATCTAAGAACAGACAGGGGTCATTAAAAGCTAAGAATATAAATATCTTTCTCGCCCTTTCTCGGACCAATCTTAATTGTTTTATTACCCATCACGAAGAATTTTTTTACTGCCAGTTCAAGGAAGACATTTGGGTCACTAACACACACGAAAATATTTAAGATCGAAAAACAAAAGAAAAATTAATTCCTTTTAATAACATGTGGAAATATCCACTCTTTGCCTGATGAAGGTCACGAGACCGGAAACACGTGTAGCAAAATTATGGAAAATAAAGCATAATATTTTTTTTTTAAAAAATCCACATTACAACCAAAAACGTTTGCGGTTTCTCTCTTCTTTTTATTACACACACTTTTATCTCGTTGGAACTACTATAAGCTCTTCCCTATATATATATATATATATATATATATATATATATATTTGTGTATTTAAGCAGGAATCCTTCTTTCATGCACATTTCATTGAATACGTCAGACAAGGTGCTTTGATTTAGTTTTTTATACAATTTTTTTTTCGGATGATAAATTATGTAAAAACTGTCCAAATGTTCGTTTCTTTCCGAGCGCTTTCGGCTATACATTTATCCATTTTCAAGGTTGAAATATATTAACTGTCAACAAGAAATAGATTGTTGTATTCCTGATCAATAAAAATTCGTAAACAATTATATAGGCTATAATACAACATGTTTGAACACGAAGACTCACACTACACTTTTCTGATCATAGCTCAATTAGATCTCATTTAAATACTCATGGAGACCTACCGGACCTTATTCGTAACATGTTGACAACACAAATATAATAGCATCATCTACATTCAAAAAAGGCTAAAAATAATGGAAGCTTTATTAATAAAAAAAACTAAAACAACACTTAATAATATTAACTGTCAACATGGACAAAATATATTGACTGTGTTTTGGAAATGTAAACAATATATAAATATATACATACAACAATCTATTTCTTAATATATTTCAATCTTGAAAATGGCTAAATGCATAGCCGAAAGCGCTCACAAAGAACAGAAAATTGGACCGTTTTTATATAATTTATCATCCGAAAAGCAAAAAAAAAATTATAAGATCACATGAGAAATTTGATAAAAAACTAAATCAAAGTACCTTGTCTGTCGTATTCAATGAATTGTGCGTATAAACACACACACACACACACACACACACACACACACACATACACACACACATATTATATGTGTGTGTATATATATGTTTTATTATGTATAGTTATATTTTTATCTGCGTGGGACACGTGTAAATATGTAGAGTTTTGTGTATATCATACTGGTATAAAAGTGTTTCTGAGAACAAATCATGTTTGTCATTCCCTTTCCTTTTGGCTATTCCGTTTCGTGCATGAAATACGGTGTTATTATGTCATGGATACCATAATGGGGAAATACAAATTTGGTGAATAAACCTTTTTTCCATAGTTCTCCCATAAAAACTAATACTATCAATCGGAAAGAGAAGGCTTATATTTTGGGGGCACATACAAATGAAAGAAGGCCTAGAGAACTCAATACTCACAAGAGAGGTAAGGGTGTCGGAAGAAACAGTGGGGGAACCTACTTGATTATGTGAATTGATGCTAAAACGAAATAAAAATCATATGGTAAAGGGGGACTAAGTTACTTAAAAGAACAAAATACAGGAAGATGTGGAGAGCTGTGATTTTCCATATCTTGAAAGTATATGACATATAAATGAAGACGTACACCGCTTGAATTAAGGGTAGAAATATCCATAACTATTTCCGTACATAAGCCTATGTTTTTAAGCTGTGTATTTTAACTTTGTCTATGCCACCATTGCTGTCTATAATCCAACAAAGAAATTATGGTTTTTATTATTTCTTTAGAACAAAATAATTTTTCGTTGACACGAAAAGAAACGATTATTTTAGGTTTTTGAAACACTTATGCGTATTTGTTATTCCATTTTTATTTTTGCCGTCGAAATACTCGGCCATTGTTTAGCGAGTTCCCAGGCATTCTAAAGGACGTATTCAAGAAAAAAATAGTGAAAGCAGCTCAAGAAAAGAAATGAAGTCTGACGTTATTGCTGCACGAGAAGAAAAGAAACAGTTTCTCCTCAATTTTGTTTTCAAATTGTCGTCTGCTATGAGTTACAGACGTTTTATAAGTGAAATGATTTGTCCCCGCCCGACTCTCCGCTTTCTTAATAAATGAAATAAAACTAGTATGGAATTTCATTGCAATAATTTGGCCGAGTTTTCATGTTCTTAAATGTCTTACCAATTCAAAGAAATTGTAGCTATCAAAGCATCCACTCATTTCTTATAAGGACTGGGCGTTAATGGTTTTTGTTATCGTTGTCAGAATACTTTAAATTCTTTTTCTCTATCACTCGATCCAAAAAAGGCTTATATCCAATTTTCATCACTTCAAGCAATTTATGACTTATTAGATCTGCTACTGCTTACGGTCAAATCATGCTAAGCAGTGTCAGTAAATAGATGGCTGACTGCTTGGTTTCCAGAGCAGCAACGCCTAGTGTTGTGGAGAGCTGTGTCTCCACACACTTCAGAATCTACGGGATCAAAGGAAGGGAAGGAAGATTTGAGATCAGTCTTATTTATTGTCCCAGGAAGGGAATATATGGTGGCTTAAACTCGTGTCCGATACGGCCATTACTAGGAATCTTTTAGAGTATATCTACTGATGTGCTGAACGAATGTGGCTCTTTAGCCCAGCAAGGGACCTACATACTCTAGAACAAACAGGACACTTAAGAGGTCCAACAGCAATTTAAAATATCGCATGAAACCGCTTCTGGACCAGCATATTTTACCACAAATACTACATTTCCATAGCTGGACGTCTACGGCTTTATAGTTAACTGCCCCCTCGTCTCTGTGCTCCTAAGTGACTACTTAGACGAACACACTCTACCATAATCTGTACACCTCAGACCGATCGGGTGTCTTCAGGAAGTTCAACGGGGACGGCTTTATGCACATTTCTTTTAAGCCTTGCGTGCCTCCTCTTCTGCTCCCGAAAGAGGCACGTTCCACTCTGAGCAACCCGTTTTTCCAAGAATTGCGATCAGATACGCATTCTTCCCAGTACTCACAGGGAATGTTGTGAATGTTGTGATGTGAGGAATACATATATGTATACATACATAAAAATAGCTGGTCACTCATATTCGAGGATAGCCGTCTACTAGGGCGGCTAGCCATTCCTTATTACAGACGCTCGCTCAGGCACATTTGTGTTTGCTCAACACCCACAGAGCCCACCTGTGGTTTATACTGTAACTATACTGAACAGACCTTAGTTACCGTTTCTGGGAGAGAGCGTGTTATTTAGCATGATCAACAATTTGAACAAGTCCAGCACGCTCAAGATCTCGTTCACGACCCCACCCCAACTCAATTTCACAAAAAGGTTTGATCAATGTTTTGGTATGGTTATCAGACACTAAATAATCAATTTGCAATTTTGGGATCGACCTCAATTTAAGTCCTTTAACATCAGGAATTTAATCAATATTGTTTTACATTTTTAATAACAACAACAGTAGTAAAATTCAACGTATATATATAAAAAAAAAGACCCGCAAATAATTATTTTTTTTAAATCAACGTTTCTTATGAAGAATAATATCATAGAAAAGTATTAAATTAAATTTTTATAGTAATTTTGAAAAATTTATTAATTAATTTTTTTTGTTTTCTCACAAGGCTTGGACCAACCGGGGTATAGATTTCAGGTACTTTCCAAAGGTGTCGCACGCTGGGATCGACCTCGATACAGTGTGATAAAATCACGGAGTTGCATTCCAGTCAAATCGACCATGGTGAGATTCGAACCCACGTATTCTTTTTTTGGGCTAACCACTCGGCAATTGCCAATATGTATGTATATATGTCAGTTTTATGAATTACACTTATATATATGTATGTTTTGTATATTTGTCTCAAGCCATCTTCAGAGTGATTATACGGACATTTTAGTAAAGATATTCACCATCGGAGATAATATTTTGTTATTGACATTTTTATGGATTGAGTTTTTTAGGACTTCATTTTCACGCTTTGCGATCATCAGATGTTTGTCTTATGATCCAAAATTTTAAAACCCAAAAAACATGAATCTAAACAAAATGACTATTCTAATATATTTATATATATATATATATATTTATATATATATATATATATATATATATATATATATATCGGTAGTGGATGCTAGTGGATGCGTCTGCATGATGAGTCCAAATATAGGACGAAACGGCCGTCCAGTGCTTTCTGCATTCTGTTGAGGTTTCTATCAGACTCAATGAATTATTTAAATATAATTATCAAATCCTCAAAATAATTACTATCTGTGTTTATCATCGCTTGAACCGGCTTCTAATGTTTTCCAAAATACTATTATAAAAATTGAGAGTAGTCGTGGCTCCAGGGGCACAGTGTTATGGTTACAGAGAACTCAGTTAGTTAATAT